AACACGTAATGCCGTTCTATCATTCGATGTTTTGAAAAATTCTTTCAAAACAAATGGTTAGTTTGACGATTTTTACCTGAAGAAGGACCCAGGAGGGGTCTGAAAACGTTAGTAATGTTAAATTTATTCACATTGGTTAAAGGTTTTGGAGGTTTCCTAATATTTAGTAAACTCCGGTGTGTACGTTATCATTTTGCTATATATATATATATATATATAGCATATAATATTTAAAAATAGCATATCTTGCATTAATGAACAAGATATTTCAATAAAATAATGAATTACCTTATAATAAATAAATAGTATTGGCTTTTGTGATTGTATGCTGATACAGCTACATACCAACAGACTGCCGAAATGTTTGTATACATATGCTGATACTTCTATTTGTTATAAGATATAACTGAAGACAGTAGAACAGGCAAATAGCACACAGATCAGCAACAGAGAATGGAGTGATAAACTGGATGTTATTAAAATACCTTTCAAATCACAAAACAACTTTTATTTTGATTCAAATATTTTTGAATAAGAAAATTTAACTTTTGTTGTGATTGAATAAATGGGAAAAACTTCTTTTCTGCTTATTCAATCTAGAATTTTTTATTTGGTTTTTTAGCTTAAAATAAAAATATTTTTCCAAACTTATATTCATTTATAGAATCTTTCAAAAATTCTTAATTCTATTCCTAAAATTTCTTATAGAAATATATCTAAGCATTTTGGAATATCACAATTACCTTTAGAGTTTATTGTACTAATAACATACATCAGAAAGAAGTTGAAATATTCTATCTCTTTAATTTAGAAAAAATATCTTAAAAGAAAGAAAACAGTCTTTAATTAACCATAGAAGTGCTATTTAACTTTATAAGAAAACTAAGGTTTGAATATTTAGAACTCAATTGCTTTTGAGCCTATCTGGCTCATCTTCAAGAGTTTAATTACTGCTAAAAGAACAGTATTAAATGCTAACATTCTAAATAGATTTAGAACATTATATTGCTGTTTTAGATGTAATTAAGCCCTTGAAAATGAGCCAGACAGACTTGAAAGTGCTTGGATTCTAAATATTTAAAAGTTCATTCCAATAAAATGTAGTTTTCTTATAATTTGAGTTTGAATTGGAGTTTTGAAAATTTCACTTATTTATCATTACATTCCTATTATCCTATTTATTATAATCATTCAAAGCATTTAAGGTTTATTCTTGAATGTATTATATACTTATTGTAACCATAGATATTGGGTACATTCCAGTATGAATCACTCTCAGCCAAAACTGATGCACCAGTGAATGATTTAATAAGCTTTTACTGGAATGTCTGGTAATTAACAAGATGGTAGAAGCAAATAGTGCTATATTGGCATTTGCAGATATATTTTGTTAAAACAACTTTGGGTTAAATGGGTAATACAGATGAGTAGTAAAAATGGTGTTAATAATATAACCATTGTGGTATCCATATTGCTCCATCAAGCTCATCATATCCACAGCCTGATGAGTGTGATGTACAGTACATCAGTCACTACACTGGTGAATATTGGAACACATTTTAGTACAATGCAGTTCATCTATGCACTGTTTGATGCATATTGAAATGTGCCCATTGTTATCAGTTATTTAATGTTACAGAATCATTCCAACGTCCCAAAACATGTAAATTAATCATAAAAATAATTAATAAATCATAAAATAATTAAAAAAATATATAACTTTAACATCCTTTTGAAGTTAGAATTTCTATTATTTGTAGTCTAATTTACTTATCTTGTTTAATATTAACAGTCAGTTATTATTATAACTGTAGGGACATCCCAAAATGATTACAATAAGTGGATTCTACTGTTATTAAATTTAGGGTTGATTGAATTAAGAGGAACAGCTTATATAACGTCTTCAGGCAACCATTTAACCACACCATAATATTACTTAGAAGGGAAAGTTAATTTCTCCTTTTATTATTCTTACTCTTACTATTCTTATCAGGGGTGCCCATACATTGGGGCACATGCTTCCATTTGTCATTGGGTTGCCCTTTTCTTAATCTCTAAGGGAGCTCTATGGCTTCATTTCATTTTTAAATTAGTTACTCATTTTTATCACAGAAAACTTTTTTCTGATGACAAAATTAAAGTCTTTGTTATTAACTGAAAATTTGTTCTAGTGGGTTGTGATTGTTCAGTTGAGTCAACAGTGAAAGGGAAGTTGACTTCCATCAGAACTGTCCACAATAATTTACATAACAGTAAAATTATAACATTTTTAAAAAATTGTAGAAAGGCATTGTAAACATGTTTTATTTTTCTCTGAAAAAATTTAAAAAAAGATAATAATAATCAGTTACAACTTAATGTTGTATATAAACAGAAAAAGTTTTGTAAATTGCCACAAGTTTGTATGTAATGAAATTAAATTTCTGTGCTTATAGCTAAAGATATATGATATTGTTATTATTTTTATTAATATTAAGACTTGAATTTTTATTAATAATATATAATACAATTTATAATAATGTTTTATAATACAGATTGCAAATGAATTGAAATCACAGTGCAGAAGTATGGATGTTTATACACAGAAGACAAAGGAATTAATAGAGAAATTGTCTTCTCTGAATAATTTTGACACAGCTTCTCTTGAACAAGAAAAAGATGATTTACTGAAGCAGTGGCATAATTTATCAGATGCAGTTTTAAACAGATATCAAAATTTGGAATCACAAGTAGTATTGTGGAAACAAATAGAAGCTGCAAAAGAAGAAATTATGACTTGGCTGATTGATATTTGTTCTCTAATGAATAACCAATTAGAAAATTTTGCCAACAAGCAAAAAGCTGAAACAGTTTTAGAAAAATATAAGGTTAGTTTTTTTATATAATTAAATAATTTTAAATTAATAAATTTAAATTCAGATTGATTTTTTATAATTAAAATAGCATTAATATTATAACAAACATCGCAAAGCCCAATAAGTACTGTATATAGAAACATCACCAAATGATTGCCTAAATAATCGGGCTATAATTCCGCTAATTTTAAATAATTAATACAAATTACTTTGTATTAATTATTTAAAATTAGCGGAATTATAGCCCAATTATTTAGGCGATAATTTGGTGATGTTTCTATAGCATTAATGCTATCATATTGAATTCTATATTGACAATTCTATTAATGTATAGAAAATATCAAACAAGTACATGTATTTATTTTTATTTGAGATGTATTTTGGACTTTAGGATTATTTTTTGGCCTGTACGGAAATTGAATGGCTTGTCTGGAGTGGAGTGACCTACAATACTTGATTATTAAACAAAGCTTATTCTGACTAAACAATATATATTTTTTAAACTATTAATTTCATATTTTAATCATAACCAAAAATTTTATATTTATTTATTAATTATTTTATAATTCTTAATTATCTTAAAATAGTGTTTATGTATTTACAATTTTTGATACAGTTTATAGATTACAAAATATTTGCCCACATAAGATTCTTGTCAAACAGTTTTGCTTTGAATTCCATTCTAACTCTTAATAGCTCTGTAGTTAATAAATGTATTTTAATTTTTGTTGGAATACATTATTTTGAAATGGTAAAAATAAAATATACAGCAGAACCTCGATTATCCGGATTAATTGAGGATGAAGGTAGTCCGGATAGGAAAAAATTTGGATAATCGAAACAAATACTTTAATTTGTCTTTTAATGATAATACAATACGTTTTCTTTTTGATGACATATCGGTAATATTAAAAGTAAATACTGTATTTAAATTGTGATCAAATTTTCAAGAAACAAACGTTCGTATTGAATTTGGACTACTACTGACTAACGCTAACAGACTACCTATTGTTTAAAAGGCCCTCTGGTGGCGCAAGAAGACGGATTTTATAAAATAAAAAGCAGTTGAAACTGCATTTTTATGAATAAAAATTTGACCAACTATTTATCGTTTTATGACCAGTGAAATTTTTTTGTCGTGTTTGTGGCTTTTAAGTAATGCATAAACCTTCGAAATGTGAGGCCCTTCAGACTGCGAGGCATAGGCGGTGGCCCATGTTGCTCATTCCTTATGTCGCCCTTGGTCATAGAAATGATGTAATTTGAAAATAAAATTATTTATAAATATGTATGTCAAGTTATATTTTTATTACGACGCAAAATATATTTAAGAGTTTACGGCCACTGTGCCGGGTGAGATGTTGTTGAAACAAAAAAAGTTATGCATTCCATCACATACATAAACAGTATCATAATTCACCAAGTGCAAATCAGCAAATTTGTAAAATTTTTGTTTATTTTGAACAATCTGGATAATCGAAAATCCGGATAATAGAGGTTCGGATAATCGAGGTTCTACTGTATATCATTTGTTTGGAAGAAAAGCATTACAACTCAAAAATCATTTTTTTGTTTTTGTTTTTTCATAAAACAATTCCAAAGTAGCTGTAATTTTTCATATAAAATACAGCTATTGTGGAATAAAAAAAATTACAAATAAGCTATTTTTTTATAAAACAAATCATTTACATATATAAACATCTTTCAGAATATTCTAAATTATTTAATATATATTAATTTAATCATAATTATTAAATTTAATAAGAGATGGCACCTAATGCCTACCTGTAGTGCCAAATTATGTAATATATAATCATTAATAGTAGTGGTAAAGTAGTCTGTAAATCTGGCAAACATTTGTCTTATAACAAATTGTTTTATGAAAAAATAAAAATTGGTGATTTTTGGATTGTAATGCTCTTTTTCCAAATGAATGAAATTATGTACTAGGAATATAGTAATTATTGTTGTGTTATTTATAAGTAGACTTTGCATATTTAAAATATGTGAATGTTACAAAGAAAAAAACAATACCTGTTTTTTCCTATATATTAAAAGAATTGTCTATTTGAAGTTTGGAAATACATAAAAAAAAAAGAAAGAAAAAAACTCAAAATTATTTAATTATTTTTATATTTTGTACTCATTAGAATAATAATAAATCTATATCCGTAAATATCAAAAGTAATCAAATATGAATCATACATTTAATGGTTATTTAATTGTTTAAGAAATTGAAAATGTTTATTAGATTATTAAAAAATTTATAATTGATTAATTTTATTAATTTATTATTATTATTTTGGTCAAACTCCATTATTAGTTTTTAAAATATTTGTTTAGTCAAATATATTTTTAGTTTGGTTTAGTCAGTATATTTTCTTTAGCAGCTGATATATGATAACTTCATATTTATTTAAAAACTTTCTATAAAAATAATTGGAAGCATAGAAACAAAAACTTGATTTTTACATTTTAACAAATTTTTAATTTAATTTAACCTATTTTAACTATGTATTTGGATTATGGTGAAAGGAAATGTATTCATATATAATATATTTAAATTATATTATTAAAATACATTAGTTTAACAGTTTAAAAGTGCAAAAAAATTTCCTATTGGTATATTCGTAACAGAACTTGTTAAGTAATTGATTATAACAGAAAATCTGTTCTATAATAATTGCTACAAAAATAACTTTTTAATTAAATTAAAATTTATCTGAATATATATAGTAGATAATAAATCATTGTATATTATTTTGTAAACAGAAATAATACACAAAATTAAACTTTTCAGATAAAAAGTATGTGTTATAATCATGAGTTAAGATTAAAAAAGTAAAATAGCATCACATATAAAAATTTGAAAAGCTAAAGAAATTAATGTGAAATATGAGAGTAATGAATTAATGAAGAAAAAATCCTAAAAAGTTTGTAAGACTAAACTTTGAGTGAAGAAATGTTGGCTAATTGGGGCAAAGTTAGATTTCTAAAATACTTCTTGATTTTTTCTAGGACAGACTCAACTTTTAGATATTTCATTAATTATATTTTAATCAGTTTTTTAATTTGTCTTGGTTAACTGACAGGAAAAAATATTTTACAGTATTTTTATTAAGAATTTTTTATTAGGATGCAATTTCAAAAAAACTGTAGACCTAAAAATTTCTACTGCTGTCTGTCTCTTTGTCCTTTCTTAACCTCAAGGATGGAATTAGATACATGAAAGTTGGATAGGGAAAGCTTAAGGGCAGGAGGCCTCAATTAACTGTATATGAACTTCTAGTTTGCACTGGAACTTGTGTTATTTCAATTAAAAAATATTCTCCTAAAAGCAGTTATATAGATGACTGGTATGACTCTGTTGCTAGCAGGAAAAATATGATGTACAGGAGCAAGACACTACTAATTTTAGGTGGCGAGCAGATATTTTAAATTAAATAAATAAAAAATATGTTTAAAAATTGCAGCTGGCATTGTGATGATGCCACAATAAATAATTGCTCATTTGTTTTAAATTTTAATTGTATTATTGATACTTTGTAACAATGTTAGTTTATATTATTTTGATATTTAAATATGTAGCTAACCTACAAAAAGAAAATTAATATTGTACAGTACCTTAATGATAAAATGAAAAAGTAATTTTTGGATTTTTATACAAATAAAATTACTTTCAGTAAAAATATAGTTAATAAATCATAAAAATATTGTTCGTAGATTTATTTTACAGTAAATACACAGCTGAAGTTCAACAAATTTTGGGAGAAAAAATTTGTAAATATGCAATGAGATAAGATTTTATATACTGTGAATTCCTATATAACGTGCTCCCCTGTAATGCAAATTTATATAACGTGATGAAAAAATTGCGACTTAGTAAAAATTCTAATTTTGCCGTCCAAAGGTGTACATTTTCTTCTTTAACTTCTAGGTCTGATAATGCATGACTTGATAATGCGATTTCCTATAATATAGAACATATCCCCTGTATTGTATGGGACTCTGCTGTAATATAATAATAAAACAAAAAGGTATACCCAATACATATGATTTATAATCCAAGTATATAATTAAATTTGAAAANTGTCAGCCAATTGCAAAAGGAGGCTGCTCACTTGCAAAAGAGGTTACTGTTCTGTTCCATTTCTTATATTCTTGTATAATGTTTAGCACTAGTTATAATAAATCATTGTATATTATTTTGTAAACAGAAATAATACACAAAATTAAACTTTTCAGATAAAAAGTATGTGTTATAATCATGAGTTAAGATTAAAAAAGTAAAATAGCATCACATATAAAAATTTGAAAAGCTAAAGAAATTAATGTGAAATATGAGAGTAATGAATTAATGAAGAAAAAATCCTAAAAAGTTTGTAAGACTAAACTTTGAGTGAAGAAATGTTGGCTAATTGGGGCAAAGTTAGATTTCTAAAATACTTCTTGATTTTTTCTAGGACAGACTCAACTTTTAGATATTTCATTAATTATATTTTAATCAGTTTTTTAATTTGTCTTGGTTAACTGACAGGAAAAAATATTTTACAGTATTTTTATTAAGAATTTTTTATTAGGATGCAATTTCAAAAAAACTGTAGACCTAAAAATTTCTACTGCTGTCTGTCTCTTTGTCCTTTCTTAACCTCAAGGATGGAATTAGATACATGAAAGTTGGATAGGGAAAGCTTAAGGGCAGGAGGCCTCAATTAACTGTATATGAACTTCTAGTTTGCACTGGAACTTGTGTTATTTCAATTAAAAAATATTCTCCTAAAAGCAGTTATATCACAAAAATTCACTATACCTTTAAAATGCAGTCTAGTTTACATCTGTCGAACGTTTTCGGTCTGATTCACAAACCTTCATCAGGATCGAATTATCAATTGAAATATATTTCAAATTTGCATAACGGAGATTCCAAACTGCAGTTATATAGATGACTGGTATGACTCTGTTGCTAGCAGGAAAAATATGATGTACAGGAGCAAGACACTACTAATTTTAGGTGGCGAGCAGATATTTTAAATTAAATAAATAAAAAATATGTTTAAAAATTGCAGCTGGCATTGTGATGATGCCACAATAAATAATTGCTCATTTGTTTTAAATTTTAATTGTATTATTGATACTTTGTAACAATGTTAGTTTATATTATTTTGATATTTAAATATGTAGCTAACCTACAAAAAGAAAATTAATATTGTACAGTACCTTAATGATAAAATGAAAAAGTAATTTTTGGATTTTTATACAAATAAAATTACTTTCAGTAAAAATATAGTTAATAAATCATAAAAATATTGTTCGTAGATTTATTTTACAGTAAATACACAGCTGAAGTTCAACAAATTTTGGGAGAAAAAATTTGTAAATATGCAATGAGATAAGATTTTATATACTGTGAATTCCTATATAACGTGCTCCCCTGTAATGCAAATTTATATAACGTGATGAAAAAATTGCGACTTAGTAAAAATTCTAATTTTGCCGTCCAAAGGTGTACATTTTCTTCTTTAACTTCTAGGTCTGATAATGCATGACTTGATAATGCGATTTCCTATAATATAGAACATATCCCCTGTATTGTATGGGACTCTGCTGTAATATAATAATAAAACAAAAAGGTATACCCAATACATATGATTTATAATCCAAGTATATAATTAAATTTGAAAATAATAATTTGTAAAGATTACACTAGTGGACAAATTAATCACTGAAACAATTTTTATTAAAGAATATTATCACATCATTTTATGGCAATTTCAATGCTCAAATAATTTAATATTTAATTTACTTGTATCTGGAAGAAAAATGGATTGTATAGATATATTAATTGAGTACAGGAAGCTAAATAAATCTGCTTGCATGAGTTTGTTTCTTCTATTAATTCAAGAATTATTTAATCTTGTTGTTTCTGATGTAGCTATTTGTTCAATAGGTCTACTTGGCAATGCATTTACTTAGTCTCACAAACTAAGTACATGCATACCAAAGAATTCCAACATGAACCTTCTTTGACATATATTTTAATTTTAATAGCATATAATTATGTAGTCATGTATTATAATTTTTATCTTATAAAATTATTAATGTAGTTCTCAAATATACATATGTTTAAACACACTATTAAATATAACACATATAAGTACATTAAAATCTTTAAATTATACTTTGCAAATAATTATAATTGGCATTGAAACTCATTGGACAAAGTTTATTTCGCAAATTATTTTCACATTACTGACAATACCCAAATTCCAAAATAAAATATTTAATTAAGTACTTGTTACATTCAAGCTTCTTCAGAATGTATAGAAAGAACAATGAAATATTTAGAATTCCATTGTTCTTTCTTTCATTATGAAGAAGCTTTGAATGTAACAAATGAAAGTGCTTAATTAAATATTTTATTTTGAAATTTGGGTATTGTTGGTAATGTAAAAATAATTTGTGAAACTTAAATTATACTTTAAAATGTTTCAGTTCCAATAACTTAAGTAAATATATTGAATATAATATTTATTATATGCAAATTAATAATTTATTACATTTTAAAATAAAATCCTTAAATACATTGTTTTAATAATTTTATAAATAAATTATTTCAGAGTGAACTTCCTAGTCAACAAAACATGCATTCAGGACTTTTATCTAAAGTTCTAGCTTTAGAAAAATTGAATGATATGCAGCAAATACCTACACTTATATCTCTCAGAAATGTGGTTCAGAATCATTTTGATGAAGCTGAAAAACTTGCTCTTCAGTTGGAAAAGACATTCGGTACAGTATCCACAGAAGAGGAATCAGTTCGTAAAGATGCAGAATGTTTCAGTGATTGGTTGAGGAAAATGAGAGAATCTGTGACAAAATGTGATGATACAACTGGTGACGATGACACAATACTCCACCGTCTCGAAGGATGCAAGGTAGGAACAATTAGTCTACTGTTAAGAGGTTGTTACTCCAGTTTGTTTTTTTCCTATTTTCCTTTTTGAACTTGGCATATTGCCTAATCCAAAATGCATTAGAAGAATTTTAAAATGAAATTAGAGATATAAATTTAATAAAAATGGAAAAATTGACTGATTTTAACTCTTACAGAGATATGAAATTGAAATTAATGATCGTGCACACGACTTGAAAAAAATAGAAACTGGTATTCACGAATTGAAGCATAAACATCCGTCATTGGATGTCAGCCAATTGCAAAAGGAGGCTGCTCACTTGCAAAAGAGGTTACTGTTCTGTTCCATTTCTTATATTCTTGTATAATGTTTAGCACTAGTTAACATCAGCAGCCTTTTCTAATATGAATTTATGTCTTAATATAATCATTTTAAGTATTGTAAGTTTTTAGTTGTGGTTGTTATAGTTTATTTATGTAAATATTTATTTTATTTTTATTTTTCTTTCTGTTTTATTTTTATATTCATTAATAAAACTTATTTTTAACATTTTAATTTATCACATTAACATAAAAGATAAAAATATTCCAGAAGTATATATTTTGAAACATATGAAATTCAAAAATATTTTTATCTTTAAGTTAACATTATATTTATAATTTATACTGAAATTATTGGGTTTTAATGATTTAAAATGTTAAATTTTTCAGATATGAAAAATTAAAAGGACAAGTTAATAAAGTTTCATCTTCACTATTTTCTGTTTTGGATCGTCGATATCAGAGTGCTTTGAATGAATTTCAGAGATGGTTAGCTACATATACTGAAAAGACAGCATGGTGTAATCCAGACTTAGTTGGTGACAGATTTAGCTTGGAAACGAAAATGGCTGCTTTAGAGGTAAAATACATAACAACGTCAGAATAATTTTGTCTATAAAACTTTAAGCACTTTCATAATCAAATTGCTGATTAATCTAATTACTGTATTTTTATTTACAGGAAGTAGAAAATAGTATGGATCAAGGTGAAAAAAAGAAATTGCTTTTAGAAAATACAACTGGTGCAATGTTTCAAGTTATTTCTCCTGAAAGGCATCAAGAAATACAAGTAGAAATTGACCAAGTTAGAGCTGAATGGACTGCATTTAAACAAAAAGTTACAGTTACCAAAGGCCATCTACGACATACATTAGATTTATGGCAGAAATATGATCAGATATATGAAAATCTTGGATCTTGGTTACGAGACATGGAAGCAAGAGTTAAGAGTGAAACTTCTCAACAGCTTGAACTAGATGGATTAGAACAGCAGTTATCTAATATAAAAGTAAATATAAATAAAACTTAATTTTATTGAATTTGAAAAACATTTGATTGAATCTTTAAACCACATTAAATTTATAGTTTATTTAAATTTAAGTTTGCTTAGGAAACCTATTATTTAATCTGATATGCTGTTGTCAGCATTTCTAGGAATATATATTGGCTACATTCCAACTATCACTTAAATATATAAACTGATAAAGTTTTAACTAGATTTTATTTTGTTATGAATTCTATTTTTAAAACTTTATCTTATTTATTTGAAAAACATATTGCTTATAAATTTTAATATAAAATTAATCTAAATTAAAAACGTTTTAATAGTTCTAAATTAAGAAATGAAATAAATGAGGACAGCTGAAAATTTGTTGACTAAAGTTGTTAGTCTGAAAATTTAGGTTACTTGGTAGTGTCAAATTGTCATCCTAGCATAATGACAATCACTAGTTTTTTAATTTAAATTTAAGCACTATATAAATTTGGATTATGAGACTATAGAAAAATTAAAACACATAAAATTATAACCTTTAAGATAAAGTTTGTTTATAAATTTAAATATATTTAATTAATATGATACTTCATGACCTATTTGTCTACTGGAAGAAATTGTTTAATCTGCATATTTAAAATTAATCATTTCTGTTTACAAGGCATTATTCTGGTTAAACACTTGAGCCAGTTTAGTTTAAAAACTATTTATATCTAAAATTTATCATTCTGTTGTATTTCTAGTGAGAATTTGCTACGTGTATTACTACTTTCTAAAAAATATGTTGAAATATATATTATTTTATTATTGTTCTTTTAATATTATGAATACTACTAAAACAATTCTTACTGAGTATAAAATCTATGACAAAGGTCTTGTTTTAATATCTATATTAAATTATATGCTAAATGAATGCTTTCTAATTACAAATAGAACAAAATTAATTATAAATATTGAGCACATATTTCAGTAAAGCTTAATTGTATTAGTTACTTTAATCTAAGATTTATAAATAATAAACACTGTTAAAACACAATATAAATAAATATATAATAATAAAATTTAAAAGAATGAATAGTTGAATTTCATCTATTCAATAACATAAGATTTTTACTTTTAATTACAAAAATTAAAAAGTTTTACAATTTTTTAAGTTCGATTACAATCGTAACCCAAACTGACTAATAAGAAAATATTTTATAATTTATCACAAAATTTGAAAATATTGTCTTAACACTAATAGAAATTATTATAAATTACAAATAAATTTATAATTCATTTATAAGTATTTATTCATATAATGTTAATCTGAATAAATAGTAATTTACTAAAATACATATTGCAATTTTAAGTAGTGCATTTGCAAAATACAATAGTTAAAAAGTAAAGATTAAATAAATATACAATTTATTATAAATAAAATGATTTGTACAAAAAAACAAAAAATTTTATATATATAAACATTTATTTTCCAAATGATGTAAGGAATTTATCCCCTAATCAATTATAAGTTAATTTTTATAAGCAAACATCATTACTAAACCCAATACGTTTAAAGCTATACACCAACAAAATTTCTAACCCGATAATATTCAGCTTTGGTTGGTGTGTAGAGTTAAATTTTATGTATATTGGAATATATCCTTTTAAAGTAATTATAAATTTTGTCTAAATCATAGTTATTTTACACTTTTACCATCCATTGTATTTGCATTGTTTTTCTTTTAATATAAAAAACAAAATTTTTCATGAACTGTAAAAATTAAACAAAAATTTATTATACAAACACTTGCTACTACAAACAAGATAGTAAATAATGTGATGTTAAACAGCTTTTTTTGGCATTCATTATATATTTTCTTCTTCCATCTTCACCTTTTAAATTGTGAACATTTGTAATTCTTTAGCTTAGACATAAATTTTTCATTTTCTGGATAAGTTTATTTATGTGTAGATTTATATCTCTGAGATCATAGAGAGTTTATGCACTGAAGAAAAATTTTTGATAGATGAATTTACATAAATGAATCTTTATTGATAATAAAATGTCTTTTTATAATTTTATTTATAACAGAATAGTAAAATTCATTAGTAGAATCAATCTATTTATATAAGTATTTTGTCACATGAATAAAGTGAATGAAATAAATTTCTTGAACGATGAAATAAAATTTACTCACAATAAACAATTAAAGAATTTTATATCTTTATCTATCTTGATTTGTAATCGAAGACATTATTTTGATAGTTGTTCCAGTCTGTTTAATTTTATTAATATCAGTTTAAATATTAATAAATCTATTTTTAAAGAAAATTTTTGATAAGTAAAGATTTTGTTTTCAATTATTTATAATATATTTTGAAAAATAGTAGTTGAATGATAAGTTATATAAAAAGAAAATTGATGCTGATCAAAGCATCTTGAATTTTTCCTTTGCATGATATGGAAAAATAAATGTTTAAAATAATTATATATATACTCATATTTAATTATTTATTAAAAAGTATGCTGAAGAAAATAATGTAGTTTACTACAGAAACAACTATAGTTCTTTTTTAAATGGTATTATATCCTTCCATTTTTAAATTTGTTTCTTTTATTAATAATCCATTAATTGTTTCACTTAGTTTAAAATTTTTTACTGTTGTATCTCATATTACCAGTAATATTGGAGTCATTCCAACTAGTAGAAGACATTTATTTATTCTCCAAATTTGCAAGAAACCTATTTTATTGGAGTCACAACCAAAACTTCACACTTTCCCAAATACTTTCAGACTGATAAAGTCTATCTTTAGTCTATTACACAATTATAAAACAGTTCTTAAAGCAGAAATTACTTTGTCAGTTCAAAAATAATTACCAAAGTATGATTTTGTGGTTGAGACTCCAATAAAATCAATTAATCAAAAGTTGAAATGTTTTTCTTGATTTTATCAAATTATCATTAATTTATTTTTATTAGTTCAAAGATTTTATGTTAAAAACTAAGATTTCAGGTATATTAGAGAAACTATGAAAATGGTAAAAATTAACTTCTTATGAACTATTATGTTTTGTATATTTTACATGAATTTCATTTTAAGTAAAATCACTAACAAAACCTAATATACTACAGAGAAGTTTGGAAGTGCTAACGTTTTTGCCCATGTTGAATGGGCATTGTCAAGCAAATTAATACCTCAGCTGTTAAAACAATGGGGGATTGCTGTACATGTATGAAGAGGGGAGGTGATGTAAGAAGAGAGAAAGGGAAGGGAAAGAACAGTAAGAATTATAGTTCAAACAAAGACTTCCAAGCTGTGGGGAAGGAGTCAACAAATTAATAGCAAAATTTAATAGTGGTGTTATTGCGAGTGGCCTTATAAATTGCCACCTGCTCAAGATATTTGAGAATGAGTTACCAGGAAGAGTTATGTAAGAGGTGTGCATAGTTGAACTCTACATTGATGTCTGGGTTGAAGGTGAAGGTAACTAATGCTGTGTTGGCCAATTCATTTATGATAGAAGTCTGATTTTTCTTGAGGCAGGTATTTAATGGGTATGTTGTAGCATTTATGTATTCTAAGTGGTGGCTGGAACTATGATTGGTGATTGGGATAGTGTAGATGCTGGTTTCAGGTGCATGTCTGGATGTTCTTTATCATTGCAGAGGAGAGAGGAAATTGAGGGACTTGTATAGAAGGCTAAACAAAAGTTATTTTTCAAATTATGTGATGCTATGATAGGGTCCACTTCACAAAAAAACAAGCTGATGGATACATAATTTTCTGGGTATAGAACCATATGCAGGTAACTATGAAATTGTAATTTTCAGAAATAGGGGTTTGAAAATTGGACCAGCTTTTGATTGCCCACCAAAAATTTGCTCTTTTTGCAACTATTTGGAATTTTACATATCTGTATAAGATGTAGTGTTCCACACTAATTATGTTCCTTCCTTTCCATTTGAGAATTCTCTTCACTCTTTAATTCTATCCCATCTTTCCATTTTGTTTTATGTATTGCCCTTCTTGAAAACCTTTGCAAAGACTGGCAACTGGATTGGATGGAGGGAGCCACATGTGTAGGCAAGGGACACCCTCCAAGGAAGGATATAAAAACCTGTGAGGATGTGAGTGAAGCACTTTTTTCCCCTTATCTTTAGTCTTGGATGTGGTAGAATTGGTTGCTACTTGAGATGGGACATGCATCGAGACCTAGGATCTGAACTAAAGAACCCATTGGAACTGAAAGAAGAACTTGTACTGGCAGAATCTGTCCCTGCAGAATTTGGAAAAAAAAAAAAAAAACTTGCCATAGATGTATATATCAGCCAGACATACTGTTTAAGGACATTATTTTTTCATTCTTTTGTGTTTAAGTGAGTGAAATTAGAAATCCTAACAAACCATACACATTCCATGGATTTGGCTCTCTCCTTCTTCTATGTGATTTCCCTTCTCTATCATCATTTAAGAACGAAGTCCATGTATATTACAAAATTAGTAAGTAAGAAAACCTCTTTTGTTTTTTTTGTTCACGTTAGTCCCCTAAGACCACATGCTATGGGTGACTACAAAGATCTCAAATAAAATGTGTTGAATATAGTAGAAATACTCTATTATTGAAAAACTGCAAAATTTAGAATTAGCCACTCAATGTTCTATATTCATAATTTTAATATAGTGTTTAAAGACTAATTACTCTAAAATCCTTGGCTATAAGCTGTGGCCTGTGCACAAGGGTGTATGCACAATAAATGAAAAACTTAAGCATCATAATGAACCAACTACTATGTGAAGGTATAAGTTGCCAGTGGTAATCAGCAATTGCCAAAAGTGCTTCAGAAGTAGCCAGATATCTCCAAAAGCTTGTCTAAAGTAGTCATAATTATTGTTGACACATTTTTGTTTAAATAGCCTAACTGATATGAAATAAAATTAAGTATGCATATTCTGATCACATTTTGTTGTGCTATAGAAGTAATAATAATTTTAAAGCATTTGAAAATATTGGCAAAACTGACCAGCAAAACAGCATACAATTAAATAATTGTAGAGATTTATATAAATAATGTCATTAATGATGTTGGTTCATTCCCTATTGGTTTTATTCTAGAATTGTACTCTAAAAACTTGGTGTGAATATGAGGGCATCTTATACATGAATAAGTCAACATTCCTTTACAACTTTTGCTTTTGTGACTCATATTTAACGGTAGTCTATAGCCAAGGTTTTAGGGTAATTCTCCATGTGATATAGTTAGAGTAAAACTCTCCATCTTGCTTATATCTAACAGAAATTGATAAAATTACAAACTAATTCTAAATTATTCGTAATAAAAAGAATTAAAGATTACAGTAATATTTAATTTTAATGAAACAGTTGTACTAATTTTAATTTAAAATCATTTATAGACACTGAAACAAGAAATATCAGACAATCAGTCATCTCTCAATGATTTACTTCAATTATCTGAAAATATAAATAAAGAAAGTCCAGAATCAAGAGTGAAGAATCAAGCAGCTCAACTTGTTTCAAGGTTTCAAGTTTTAGAGAGGTCCTTAAAAGTAAGTCATTTTATTAGTTTACAATTAAAATATCTTTCACTTGTAATAATTGACTAAATTCATCATCAATGTTGTTGTCAATGTGTTTTGTTTCATTCTTTCTTGTAATGAAAGATGATATTATTTAATAAAAAATTTAGATAACCTAATTTAGATTCCTAATATACACAATAACTCACAACCAACCAACACCGGTGTGAAAATCTTTAAAAACTGCAAACATTTTCGATGCCCCTCCTGGGCTCTTCTTCAGGCTTAATTTATTTCTTCCGTTGGAACTGGATTCTTTAATTCACAGGTTTTTTAAAAATTTGGAACGTGCCCTGTTTCTGAAAATTCTGAACATGGAAGGAATCCACAAGCTATTTCAAATATCTTTTCTACCAATGGGGATTCAATATGTGCATGTTACATTATTTAAAATTATTTTTTAAATTAAATTACGATTTATTGTCTAGTAAGAATTGCCATGTTGTAGAGAGATTCATTTCTTCTTTAAAATTAATGCATGTGGATTTGCAATCAGCTTTAAAGATTTCAATTGCTTCCAAAGTTCTTAGTTACTCATGATGCTGGGTGGTGCGGATAACATGCGCTTCATTGAAGATAGGTGTAATGTCTGGGTTTGTTGCATATGTAGACAGGGCATATGATTACATTTATTATGGGTGATGTCGGATTTATGCCCTTTTTATTCTTGTGGCTAATGAACGCTTGGTGGAACCGATATAAACTAATGGCCTATCCCATCAGTTGTCTTTTAATGGAATACTGTATACCCCATTAGATTCCTAATAATTTAGATATTTGTTAGGCTGCAATTTAAAAAATTGTAGACATATAAATTCCCATGGTGTCTTTTTTGTCTGTCTGTCCTTCCTTAATCTTGAAAACAGCATGAGATAGATGAAAGTTGAGAAGATATGGAAAGCTTAGTGGTAGGAGGCCCCAATTAACTATATATGAACTTCTGGTTTTGACCGGAAGTCATGTTATTTCAATTCAAAAATTTTTTCATGAAGGGAGTTAGATAGATGATCTGCATGACTCTAATGTTAACAAGAAAAGTATGATGTACAGGGACAAGACATTACTAAAATTGTGATAAAATTGTAACATTGTGACAAAAATTTGAGGTCTGGCATTGTGATGATGTCACAATAAATAATAGCTCGTTTTTTATTATATTTTATATTAGGCTACATATAAATACTACATTGTTTTATTCATATTTTTTCATATTATTGTATTATTCATATTAGTCATTAATTAATGTGTTTAAATTTTAATTATGGCTGCTTATTAACTTTTTAGAAGTCATAAAATAGAATATTTATTCAAATTTTTTTTAAATATAAGAGACATTTTATCTCCATTCTTGGACTGTGTTTCAGTAAAACTTCTTACCATTAAAAACTTAGGAAAACTGGTCATTTCAAGGAGTGGTCTTGTTAAAGGGGAGTTATGAAAATATAATGGATACAGAGCATTTTATGTAGTACTATATCCAGTCATAATACATAGTATTACATAGCTTATAAAGTATTCTAGTGTAACACTTCATAGGCCAACAGCAAAAACTCACTCAAAAACCTTTTAGTGCAGTATATATAACTTATTCTAACGTTTTTGATCATCGGAGAAATAACTTCACAATAAATGAAACTGGAAAGTAATACTAATAAAAACCTCATTCAACTTAGAGCCTTTTAGTATTGTTTAATGATAAACACATGTTTAAAGACAAACATTTTCAATCTAGGCAAGATATTCCTCAGATCTATGTGAAATGGAATGTTTTAATGTAGTTCAAAAAACTAAACTTTCAAATACATAAAATACAAAAATTATGCAGTATATTAACATAACTACAGGAAAAGTACAAGAAAAAGTATAAAAATAAACTTTAAAAAATGTTAAAAATTGATATAACTTGTATATGACGCAATCACTTTATGTGCTTGTATCTTATGTCCTGTACTGTATGTATAGTGTTTTCCAAGCATATGACAGGCATTGATCTTGTTTAAAGTTGATACAGTGGCCTTTGTTCTTCATTTTAAAAATTTCCATGGCCTCCAAGGTTTTTGGAAATTTTTTTGCACTCTGTATTATTTTAGCATTGATTCATAGAACAGAAACCAATTGGGGGTCAGCCGGTACATACATCACTAGTGCCATGCTATAATTAGATTTATTGATGTCATTTTTATGTTCCTTGATTCTTGCTGTTAATGATCTCCTAGTAGCCCTATATAACGTAATTTCTTTTTTCTCCTGCTGTCTGTTATGGGGATTGTGTAAACTCTTGGAGTGTAAAATGCATCTATTGTCTCTTTATCATTGTACAGTAGTCTATATATTGTAGGATATTTTTTAAATATTATCTTTCCCTCTGTAACTTTATTTAACATTTTGTATATATTATATATTATAGAGGGGAGCCCTATACTCTGTAATTGAGTTCTCATTATTCATTTCCTTCTTTGTTGCATTTTTTTTTCTTTTTTCNTAATAATTAATACATTAATTGTAAATTATGAAAAAAGAGACATATTAATAACTATTGTTTTTAGTGATTTTAAATTAATAACATAGTTATAAATATTTTACACTAAACAATAAAAACAAAAATTTTATTCAGATGTGAAACTTGTTATTGAACAATTGAATATACAATTAAATAATTATGAGTAATTGAAGAACAGCTAGAATAAGTGGTGATTTAGAAAAATCTTTATTATCAAAAGTTTTTAAGTCAATTCAATTTCATTGTTTACTTAGAATTGCAAAGTAGAAAGCTTTATAATTAATGTACAAGTAATTATAATTTTATATCCTTACTTTTTCTGGAAATTTAAAATTTCTATTTCTATTTATTCTATAAATTAAAACCTGAAATAATAGCTGTATGTGGAGATATCAAAACTTTTATAGAGGGGAGCCCTATACTCTGTAATTGAGTTCTCATTATTCATTTCCTTCTTTGTTGCATTTTTTTTTCTTTTTTCTTAAGTATTTCTTTCTTAGATCATCTATACAGTATTCTTATGTTTATATCCAAATTGTTTCCCCATGGTTTTGATATATTCCAGCTCCTTATCTCTGTCTTGTATGTTGACACAATGTGTATAGGCTCTTCTTATCCAGGAACTGAAGGGTGCTAATTTGTAGTTCATTGGATTGTATAGTACCCATGGAATTAATTGCAGGCTATATATGGGTTTCTTGTAGATGCTCATATTAATCACCCCTCCTTTAAGCCTAGGCTCTATGTCAGAAAATGTGCATTCTTATCACTTTCTTGTTTTAACTCTAACACGAATCCATATGGTATAAAAATATTGTTGTTGATGAAGTTTACTATGTTAGGCCTTCTTCTCCATATTATTAATAAGTCATCTATATACCTGGCAGACTGATGTTTTCATTGTATTTTGGCAAGACATTATCTTCTATACAATAAAACTTTTTTTAAAATGCTGTGTTGATTAACACTACGTAATAAAACATCCAACGATTGCCTGAAAGATCGGGCTAGAATTTGGCTAACTAAATGATTAATATAAAGTAATTTGTCACTAAAGGTAGATGTTAGGCACTATCTCTTAACTATATTAATAATTATAAATTTTAATAAATTATTAAATAATTTAGAACCTTCTGGAATAAATTAGCCAAATTCTAGCCTGATCTTTCAGCAATCATTAGATGTTTCACTATATACTCATTAGGCTTTAAGATGTTTATTATTTATAACACTATATAGCAAGAACAATAATTTATTAAGATATCACACATAATTCTGTGTACTATACATGAAAATGTAATGTATAGTCTTAAATGTTTGATTTCAAGTAATGTGAAATGGACACATTCTTTTTCTGTTTTAATTTATTTTCTACTTGGTCAAACAAATTTCAAAAATTGCCAAATCCTACCCAAATTTGTTGTCATCAATTATCATTTTATCTATCCCTATTAATTGAAAGATTAAATTCACTGGCTTTGTTATATTATGAAGTTTAACAAGATTAAAGCATAGGCTAACTTGTTGTTGAAAATATTAACAGAAAATTATGTATATTCTCCACAGTATAAGCAAATAAGAGAAAATAAAGACATTGAAGTTAGAAAAACAGATTTAAGATGAATTTTTATACCTAACACAACAGTGAAACATATACAACATTGTACATTGTACATGCCCACGATTTCAATTTCATTATCTTATCTGGAATGATGAAACTGGTGGTTGCCTCAAAGAGAGTATTTCACATGAAGAGATTATGAGTCCAGGTGGTTATTGGTGGATAAAGGAGTGGCTGGCTTAAAGAGAATTAAAAATTCTGTTCTAAGAAAATATAGTCATCTAAAAGGGTGACCATCTGGAGAGGTTTTACTGTATTAATAGTTCTAAAGTAATAAAGCAGAATGGAGATAAGAAAATAAAGAACAATAATATGTTAGGAATGAGAATTTCTATTATATTGATTTCAGTTTATTCTATATTGTTTAAATAAATATTGTTTTTATGATTAAAAAAAAATTGGAATATTAATTAAAGTGTTATTTAATTTTTAATATATTCATGTTTCTCTTTTTTAATGTTCTTTCATTTTAGCTGTTTAATTTTATTTAATATCTTATAATTTGGGTGTAAGTAAAGATTAGAATTTTATTATATTTTAGGAATTTGAAGATAAATTACAAAGTTTACTTCAAACTCAAAAGACATATGAACAGGCAAAAACAGATTTAAAAACTTGGCTAGAAGTAATGAATCAAAGATTAGAAGCTACTTCAGATATCGGAAAAGATAAAAGTATATTGGAAAACAATTTGGAGACATTAAAGGTATTTATTTAAATATAATAATTAATACATTAATTGTAAATTATGAAAAAAGAGACATATTAATAACTATTGTTTTTAGTGATTTTAAATTAATAACATAGTTATAAATATTTTACACTAAACAATAAAAACAAAAATTTTATTCAGATGTGAAACTTGTTATTGAACAATTGAATATACAATTAAATAATTATGAGTAATTGAAGAACAGCTAGAATAAGTGGTGATTTAGAAAAATCTTTATTATCAAAAGTTTTTAAGTCAATTCAATTTCATTGTTTACTTAGAATTGCAAAGTAGAAAGCTTTATAATTAATGTACAAGTAATTATAATTTTATATCCTTACTTTTTCTGGAAATTTAAAATTTCTATTTCTATTTATTCTATAAATTAAAACCTGAAATAATAGCTGTATGTGGAGATATCAAAACTTTAATTTTAAATTTTAAATTAAATCAAATTTTATATTGAAGTTTGAGATCTCTACATATAACTATTGTAAATATCCAATAAGGCAAATTGTGTTTAGTTAAATTGACACTATTAATATATTCATCAACAAATATTAGAAATGTATTTTATTTTGACTTGACGGTCAATAAAACTCATCATGTCATTGAAGATAGAAAATATATATATATAAAATATCTAACTTCTGCCTGTATAACTTAACATTTAAGATCAAATAAGTTATCATTATTCACTGACAACACTTGATAATAGCATCAATTCTATGTATGTTAACAAACAATATAACCCCTTTTCCAAGGTGCCTCTGCAAAATGTCATGATGCAAATTGTCACTAACTCGAAAGTAGCCACCAAATAGCCAATATTTTTTTTTAAATTAAAATTTAACCACAAATAGAAATAGCCACTATTGTTATGTAGTTAATTTGTATATGAATTTGCACATATAATACATTTACAAAAATTCTACTATTTAAACTAGCATTACTGCTATGCTGTAAAACTAATCATATTTTACTAACTTGCTATCATCTCAGTCCACATTAAGTCAAATTTGTGGGACTCTACTGTATACTTAAACAATATCGTTGTTCATCTTCATTCAAAATTTGAGAGCATTCGTGTTATTGTTGGTCACAAAAAAGTGTGACATAAATCATCTAGTCTCTCAGTTAGTGTAATTAAAATTATGGGCTAATTAAAGTAATTTTAACATTTATAAATTGATTATCTTAATATAAAAATATCAGAAACAAAATAAGAATGTTGTTTAATTGCTACTCATTTCCTTGAAATATCCTTTAGTTATAAGCATAAATTTTGGTAAAGAGAACAAATCACACAAGGAACACACCAGTAATTGACTATTCCAACTTTATCATAACAGGAAATGCATTTTGGACCTTCTGTTCTCCTCAGTCCTTTATTACAGATCTATGACTATTTTTTAAAATTATGTTAGTGACCACTGGGTGAATCAAGCTTTATAAAAGTGAAAATAAATGTGAATTTCTATAAGGTTGATCAAAAAGAAATACATAAATAAAATTAAAATAAATCTATGATAAAGTTTAAATTTTTTTTTTTTTTTTAAATTTTATCATAGTTTTACTTTAATAATCAAAGATCTTTAATAAAAGACTGAGGAAGGGCAGAAGACCCAACATGCATTACTTGTTATAATAAAATTGGAATAATCAATTACTGGTATGATTTGTTCTCTCCTACAAAATTTATGCTTATAACTAAAGAAAATAAAAATGATTACATTAAGTGTGAGTAAAACTTTATATTTAATTTAAGTTAAAGTAAAAATTTATACAAATGTACTATGTAAATATAAATTAAATTTATTAAAATAAAAAAATTTAAAAGATACAGGTTGTTTAGGATAAATATAAAAAATAATTTAATGTAAAAAGTAAATGTGTTTATATACTACTAAATGATCAAAAATAGTAAAAAGCATTATTGAGTAGCTATTGAATTCAAATCATAAATTTTTTGAATATCTGTTTTAAAATTGCCAGAATTCAAGATTTTCATGATTTATTCAAATTTATTAACCAGCAGTTACTTTTTATCACTGATAGTAATATTTGTGTTTAATTAATAGAACTTATCCTTATTTGAACATTTTTTTTTCCTTCCTAGATGAACTAATATCTATGTTAAAATTTTATATTATTTCCACTTGGCTGTGATTATACATTAAAATATATTATACAATATAAATTTTCCATCCTTTGGTGTTAAGTTTATTTTTTATAATGTTTATATTTATTATAGGAAAATATTACAAGTTAAATATGTATATTCTATACTGAAATAATAAGACATTAAATGAAACCTACCTGTTCTAACAGATATTTATTTATAAATATTTTTGGAAATTTAAGTTAGAAATAAAATGTTTAAAACAGGTAATAGAAGAGAGTTTTAATTACAGATTAAGCATCATTTAAAACCATACCTTAAATCATTCTAAACACTTTAAACTGTTTAAAAATGTTTAATATGAATATTTTTAAGCAATTTTAACAAATTGATTTTTTAAACTGTTAAAAAGTTTATATGTATATTTTATTTTAGTTAATTTTATATATGTATTTTGATTTAACTATAAATTTTCTTATAAAATTCATAATTTTTTTATAGGTAGTGTCTTCTAAAGATGATATGTATATGTAATTCAAAATAACTAAAACTCGTTTACATATTATACATAAATATATATTATTTAAATTGTAATATTTTGTTAATTATTTAAAATTATTGTTATTATTAGGATCTACTGTCTAAAAAGGAACACAGTTTAGTTTTACTTAATGCTGTTACCGACGCAGGAGAAACTATTTATTTAAATCTCAGCATGACTGGAAGAGATCATATTCGAGGAGAAATGAGATCGCTAAGAGAATTATGGATGTCAAAATGGAAGAAAGTAAATGAAGTAATTAAAGCTATAGAAACAGCTTTGATGGCTTGGAGTACATTTGATGATAGGTAAATTAACATTATTTTTAAAAGTAGTTTAATTATGACCTGAAAATAAAAAAATTTAAAAGATACAGGTTGTTTAGGATAAATATAAAAAATAATTTAATGTAAAAAGTAAATGTGTTTATATACTACTAAATGATCAAAAATAGTAAAAAGCATTATTGAGTAGCTATTGAATTCAAATCATAAATTTTTTGAATATCTGTTTTAAAATTGCCAGAATTCAAGATTTTCATGATTTATTCAAATTTATTAACCAGCAGTTACTTTTTATCACTGATAGTAATATTTGTGTTTAATTAATAGAACTTATCCTTATTTGAACATTTTTTTTTCCTTCCTAGATGAACTAATATCTATGTTAAAATTTTATATTATTTCCACTTGGCTGTGATTATACATTAAAATATATTATACAATATAAATTTTCCATCCTTTGGTGTTAAGTTTATTTTTTATAATGTTTATATTTATTATAGGAAAATATTACAAGTTAAATATGTATATTCTATACTGAAATAATAAGACATTAAATGAAACCTACCTGTTCTAACAGATATTTATTTATAAATATTTTTGGAAATTTAAGTTAGAAATAAAATGTTTAAAACAGGTAATAGAAGAGAGTTTTAATTACAGATTAAGCATCATTTAAAACCATACCTTAAATCATTCTAAACACTTTAAACTGTTTAAAAATGTTTAATATGAATATTTTTAAGCAATTTTAACAAATTGATTTTTTAAACTGTTAAAAAGTTTATATGTATATTTTATTTTAGTTAATTTTATATATGTATTTTGATTTAACTATAAATTTTCTTATAAAATTCATAATTTTTTTATAGGTAGTGTCTTCTAAAGATGATATGTATATGTAATTCAAAATAACTAAAACTCGTTTACATATTATACATAAATATATATTATTTAAATTGTAATATTTTGTTAATTATTTAAAATTATTGTTATTATTAGGATCTACTGTCTAAAAAGGAACACAGTTTAGTTTTACTTAATGCTGTTACCGACGCGGGAGAAACTATTTATTTAAATCTCAGCATGACTGGAAGAGATCATATTCGAGGAGAAATGAGATCGCTAAGAGAATTATGGATGTCAAAATGGAAGAAAGTAAATGAAGTAATTAAAGCTATAGAAACAGCTTTGATGGCTTGGAGTACATTTGATGATAGGTAAATTAACATTATTTTTAAAAGTAGTTTAATTATGACCTGAAAATAAAAATTTTTTTGATNAAACATGTGAAAATTATGTCAATGAGCATGAAACTTATCAACAAAATTTTGAAAAATTTCAAGATTGGCTGAGGATTCTTAAAGCTACTATTGATTCTAGTTTTGATCACAATGATATTGACACTTTGAAGACAAAATTAACAGCAATTAGAGTAAGTTTTTATTTATAAATGTACTGTACACATCTAAAATGTATTTAGAAAAGTGTCTATCTTTTCAATTTTGATATACAATTTATATTGTTAGAAATTACAAACTATAAATTTCTAAGTATTAAAAAAAATTAAATATGAAAGTTAATATTTCTTACAGTCTGTTCTTTATTCTAAAAATATCAAAAGCATATTTTTAATTAATATTTAAGTAAATTTAGAGATTTTTCAGGCCTTATTTATGAAAATTTAGACTTTGATAAAAAAAATTCTAACTTTTATAAATAGGATTTTAATTTGAATTTTTCATTAATGCTTCTTGACCTTGATTATAAGTATTGTAGAAAAATGTTTACAAGAACCTTACTTCATTTAAGGATTTGTTACATCAAGGAGAAGAGCACACAAAAACTAGAAGATGACAATTACTATTCAGATATTTATTACAACACAAATCTGTTTGTTCATCAGATTTGAGTTACAATAAATATCTGAAAAGCAATTGTCATCTTCCAGTTACTTTTGTAATCGGTCAAAAAATGATCTCAAAGATTTTTACATTTTTGGAATTAAAACACTTAAAACGTCAAGAAATGCAAAAAAATTTGGGGTGTAATTTCTGTATGTATGGATGTTAATGTGTGTGGGACATGATTTTGTTCACTCTGTTTGAAGCTTAATAACTCCTGTGCTTTCTGTTAGAAATTTCTGAAATTTTGCAGGGAAGTTTGTTTATTAGGGGGATTGATGCTATTAAATTTTGGTGTCAAAGGACAAGGGAGTGGAGAGATAATGGGGATTGTGTGTATCTCAGACTTAATAACGATTTTACTCATTATTAGCAGTGAACTTTCTTCCCCAAACTCTGTCTCATTGAGTTGGTTTGCCATATTTGTCACGACTAGATATAGTTTGATCCAGGTTTGTTGAGAGTACACCTCCACACTCAAGATAGACAATATTTACAGTTTATTTGGGATATACAGTATATATATATGGAGTATACAAGTTGGAAAACACAGTAAATACAGGATACACAAAGTGTGGTGCCGCATGTACTAGATTGGCTTCCAGGAACTACTAAGCTCTGGAGAGGCCTCAGTCAGCCTGTGGAGCGGCTCAACTACATGGTTCGTCCAGTCTTAGCATTTACCCATTCCTGAGATAGTTATTAGAGGAGTATGCTTTTTCTAAGCTCAGCGGGCTTCCTAAGTGCCTGAGACTTTCGTGTTACCAGTCTCTTGCCCTTCTTTCCCCTCTCCTGTTCGCTCTGCAATTTAAGGATTTGTTGGATGGAAACTTCCGACCAATTACAAATCTTCTTTGTGTGAACTGCTTTCACCCAGGTCTACTTTTATTGTGAAGCTTACATTTATGTTCACCGATATTCTGACCAACTTGTTTATGGCCAGGAGTTCACCATCTGGCAAGTGGTCTATCACCGGACCACATGTGGATCCAATTAGAGAGGTCAGCACTTCTTTTGTTCCCTCTCTGTTCACAACTTTGTTTACAATACTTTACATTAACATTTACAATTTTTTAATAAAACTCATCCCTATCTTCAAAATTAAGCTTTTTTCCATTTTATAATAATTAAAAATGTAAACAGTTTTTTAATGAAATATCACAACAGATAGCGCCACCAGAATTTTAAATGTTGCTGGGAAAGTTAAGCGATTTGTTGTTGGTTTATTTTTTGTGCTGTTCTTTTTGATGTAACAAGTCCTTAAATAAAGTAAGAATTTCATAAATGTTTTTCTGCAATAATTGTAATTTGAATTTATTTATAATTTATAAATTTATAATAAGAATAAATTACACTGTCTTTCAGTAAAGTCATTTACTCGAAAAATTTATATTATTATATTGAATATTATGTATGCTCTGCTGAAGAAGACATTTTAGAAATGTCAAAAGTAGTTTGCTTATAGTTAAAAACTTTTTTAAATAAACGACTTTAATAATGAAAGGCATTGCAGTTTACTCTTATTCTAAGTTTGGCATCATTAGTGAGTACATTTTTATAAAATTCATTTCTAATTTATAATCATTATATCCAAATTTAGCCTGATCATTTACAGTAGTTGTGGGTATATAAAATTCATATTAATTGCCATATACAGTAATACCTTGACTTACGCTACCCCGACTTACGCGATTTTCAAATCTCATCGATTCATCTTTTGTTTGAGCGTCACACAATTCTTGATTACTTACTCCCCCCACACTATTGTTCGGCTTACATGTTCGGACGTGTCGCGCGGAATTGACACATAGCTACAATTTATTTTCTGTTATTTATTTCTGTGTTTGTTATATCTACGGAGACTTGAGAGACTCTGTGTGGTGATTTCTTGTAACCATGAACGAATTAAAAGACGAGATAAGATAAACGAGAACATGTATTAGCTTACATACATCCGACTTGGGTTTTATACAAATTGCGAAATTATACCCCGACTTACGCGAATTCGACTTACGCGGTTATCGCTCGGTTCCACCTATCGCGTAAGTTCGGGGTATCACTGTAATTATCCTTTGTTTTTCTCATTATGAATTTTTGAATTTGATATATATATTATTATACTATATAAGTTATTTATTCATTTATTAAGATTTATTATAATTTTTTTATAACTTAGTTGCAACCAAGTAATTGCATGGTTAGTGCAAGTTTCTGATCAAGTTGGTTCTCAAGTTAAATTGAAACCAAGTTTAAGTGAAAAAAAATTGCAGTTTCAAAACCTGAAAGTAAGCAAATTTTAATTGAAATTATTAAATATATAATTTTTTACAGTTCAATTTAATTATCTTATTGATCACATTTCTTTATAGTCAGTTCTTCAAGATATTCTATCTCATCAATCTATCATAAACAAACTTCAGGATAAAGCCAAACCTTTACCAGAGACTTCTGCAGTTCAAAAAGCCAAAGATTTACAAACACAATATAATGATTTAAATTCTACAATGAAAGTAAGAAAATATCTTTGAATATATTTTCAATATAATGAAATACCATTAAACTATTTATTTTAATGCAATATGTTGATGGATATAATTAACTTTAATTTATTATTGATGATATACATTTGATTGTCTAGAAACATATTGAAACATGTGAAAATTATGTCAATGAGCATGAAACTTATCAACAAAATTTTGAAAAATTTCAAGATTGGCTGAGGATTCTTAAAGCTACTATTGATTCTAGTTTTGATCACAATGATATTGACACTTTGAAGACAAAATTAACAGCAATTAGAGTAAGTTTTTATTTATAAATGTACTGTACACATCTAAAATGTATTTAGAAAAGTGTCTATCTTTTCAATTTTGATATACAATTTATATTGTTAGAAATTACAAACTATAAATTTCTAAGTATTAAAAAAAATTAAATATGAAAGTTAATATTTCTTACAGTCTGTTCTTGATGCCGAAAGTGACGGAAAAGAAAAATTAGCTGAATTAAATAAAGAATTACAGAAAATATTACAGCATACAGATAGTTCTGGCTGTTCTGTTCTGACTGAAGATCTGAAAAATCTGGAAGATGACTGGAACAGCTTCATTAATCAATGCAAGATTAATCAAGAAAGTTTATTACAAACAATAGCTGATCATGATAATTTTGAGAGTGTATTAGGAAATCTTGAAGGTTGGGTAACAACTAAGGAAGGACAATTACGTGATCAGCCCCTACGAAATTGCCTGGAAACAAAGCTACAACAGATAGATAAAATCAAGGTAAACTCGTTAAATTTCCACACTATCATATTATCGGCAGGCCAAAATGTAGGTGTTCTAAATGCTTACTTTTTTTCAATAACAGAAATGATATATTCTACTAATATGAATTTACCCCATTTTTTCCCATTTATTTATTTATTTATTTATTTGTATTCAACATAAAAATTTTTTGCTGCAAACAATTTTTCCAATAATTATTTAAATAATAAAATTTTTATTATTTTCAATAAATAATGAAAATTTTATTATTTATTAATACAAATACTTTATTATTTTTACTGTGTTATTAATAATGATTTCAAAGATTTATTACAATGATTGAAGGGTTATTTAAATAAATTAATGAAATTTTAACAAAAATAGATTAATATAAAATTGTTGATTATATATTTGGCAACATTTATTAATTGTTTTATATCTTATTTTCATGGGTAATTAATATATGTACAAAATTAATATGATGAGAACAATATGTAAAAATAATAAGTATTACTAAATTTTGCTATAATTTAGTTGATCCCTAATATATATGCTTATAATAAATTTATTTTATATTAAAATAAATAATTATCAAAATAATAAAACAAAGCTAAGTAGATAAAAATATCGTTATGTACTTTTCATTACCAATCAATATTACCTTAATTTTTAATGAAAGCACAAATTAATTTATTAAAATATAATAATAGTGAGTGATAATGAGAAGTACATAAAAATATTTTTATATTCTTATATAGCATTCTTTAACAAAATATAATGCTGTGATTTAAATATATTTTTAAATCATGCAGAAAGTCTTCAGCAATAATTATTGATTTATGATTACAAAATAATAAATTATAAAATTTGATCTAACTTTATGTTTTTATTATTATTCTGAGTTAATTAAATTGTTTATTCATAAATAGGAATTAGAAAAAGATGTTTGTTCAAAAGAACCAGAAATAATTTCTCTCTCCACTAAAATTGAACAAATAAAAGGTGAAACACTGCTAACTCCTCAAATGGCAAAACTAAATAGCAGGTATCAAAGTTTGAAGAATAATGTTAAGGTAAAAATTAATAATTTAATTAATTAATTTGTCAAATAACATTAATTTTATAAATTATGTGCATAAAATTATTTTATTTATGATCTAGGAGGCAGTTAAAAAATGGGAACAGTATTGTCGTGATCATGAATTTTTCGAAGTAAAATTGGCAGAAGCTGAAAAATGGTTAGCGGAGCCTGAAAAGGAACTTCAGCAGTTGTCAGTTTTAACGGGTGATATGGCTTCTCTACAAGAACGAAAATCTGCACTTGAAGTAAAGGAATATTTAAATTTATACATTTTAGTTCTCTTGTGAAATTAAAATTATTATCATCACCAAACGATCGCCTAAATATCGGGCTATAATATGGCTAATTAAATGATTGGAATAAAGTAATTTGACACTAGAGGTAGACGTTAGGCGCCATCTCTTAATTAAATTAATAATTAAAATTAAATAAATAAATCAATAAATAAATTTAGAATCTTCTGGAATAAAAGAACTGGCCCGGGGCGGGACTCGAACCCGCAGCCTCCGCTTGCCGTGCGGCGCGCTTACCAGTTACGCTACCCAGACCCTCGAGCTAGTCTTCGCTTCCAGAAGTATATTAGATTTAGATATAACCTTACTTGGTTAAATACATCACTGACTGGGGACGACTCCTTCGCCCACGGCCATAGCGGCACTCAGCCAGCTAACGCAACACCCGGCGAGGTATATATATATATA